TGTGTGTGTGTGTGTGTGTGTGTGTGTGTGTGTGTGTGTGTGTGTGTAAGTGGGCGTGTCAATGTCGGTCTGGTTTGTCTGTGGGTCCGGCTATAGACTGGTGACCTGTTGTTGTACACTACAGTGTTTTTACTGTGGCCCATGTGATTATATTTATATATATATTTATTTATATAATCTTCCACGTCATTAGTGAATGTAATTGTTCATAACATGTTTCATTTGTTAGTCCAGGTGTAACTTATGAGCAGTGGGCAGCAGTGTGGTGGTACAGTGGTATTTTATGACACACTGCTGTGTCATGTTGTTGGTGGATGATCGTCATGATGTTAGACTGATGGACGTCTGGGTCACAAATACATGTAATTCTTCGTTTGCCTTCCAGTGGTCGGTGGGCCCTAGCTGCTGAAAACATGAACAACTGCAACAACAATGATGGGTAAGATGATTTATTACATTTACATAGAGATAGTGTTCCATCTGCTCCACTACATTCAAACACTATATAAAGAGATTACAGCAAATTCAGTTGCATGAAATCAGACTTTCTTGTGACATCAAAGTGTGCATTTGCAATTTGACTTTCCAGGAGTGGGCCAACAATGACACATAAGGTTAAGCCATTGGTTGATCAGATATTGTTGATCACTGTCACTCTGTTATGTTATATATCTCTTTTTATATCCACATCAACTGACCTGCTATTACTCACAGACTACTTGAACAACACCGAAAAAATTTACTCCCTGAACAGATAAAGGTGTCTGAACAAAACCATGTTTTAGGGTCAAACCCAAACCATATGAGCAGTGAGGGAGAATCCTGTGATCACAGAGGAACAGGAGACAGAAACCAGTTATACTACTCTTTGCTCTGGTGTGACCTGAGTAGGACTGTAAACACCGGGTTCCAGTACCAGGGTCCACTTCACTGTGTCCCTCTCATTGGTGATACATGCTCTTCATTAGTCCATCAGGGTCTGTCCCACAGTGAACTGCTGCTGATTCCTAGTGTTCAGGTCAAAAGAGTATGACAGGAGGAAAAACGTAACATGTCCAGAGTAACGTGTCGTATCTCTTCTTTGTTCTGACCAAAGCTTTGATTAAAGTACAAGCCCTACACCTCACTGGCTACAGAAAAGAAAGCGGTCCTATCCCCCACACACCAGGCCCCTGCTGATCACACAGCTGATCTCAGTTTAAGACTATTGGTACTGCTCCTGGTGACATCACCTGCAATAGACAGTAGGGTCACAGCACCCCCCCCCCCCCCCCCCCCCCCCCCGGCTCTCTCAGGCTACTGAATGGGTAGGATCCAAATATTTTATGTCACCTGCCTCTGTTTCTGGACATTTACAGCAAAAAAGATGGCAAGACAGAGGAACCTAAAAAGGACGACAAGAAAGACGACAAAAAAGATGTTAAAAAAGAAGAACCGTGAGTACCACATACTAGTTTCTACAGCTGCAACTTTCCATCAAACAGGACTTTTAGACAACTTGTTTGTGGTTTTACACACATTTGCTCATAATTCTGACAGATTTGCTATCTTTGGGAACTTTAAAATCTCTACTGTAATTTAAAATGATTTGAAGGTTTGTCCACATGACATGAGTAATGTTTAGGTGTCATACTTTTAGAAACAGCTGTAACAATATTGTTATTTTATTTCAGGAACAATTCTGTTTCAAACATGAAGTTAGTATGATAAGCAGTGCAAACACTGGCAGTAATAGCACTAGCTGGAGTAACGATAAAAAGTAATTCTCTCAGGTGTACTTGAACTAATATCTTTAAATACAGAATACTGAAAGTCGACGTTCCTAATATGATTAAGGTAAAAATAAAGATCCTAATCTGTGAAAGTCTCTTTGGAAAGACAGTTGATTGTAACCCTTTTCTAAACTGGTCATGACTCATGTGTAGACAATAGTTTCCGGTACAAGTAGGGCTGGACAAATTGACCAATACAATACTCGAACCTCAGTACTGATACCAACAACCTTTGTCAGTACCTGTCTTTGCTGAGTATAAACAAGAGGTATTCACTAAAACATCCCTTTCCTCATTCAGAAAGGAGGTGTGGACCATGGACCCCGCCACAGATATGTACTACTACTGGCTGTGCATAATATCCATCCCAGTGTTCTACAACCTGATCTTCCTGGTGGCCAGGTCTGACTTCATGCCATTTTGTCTTTCTTCTGTACCTGACTGTTGTTACCCAGGTCTTTGTCATGGTTGTGCTTCCCTGTAGGTCTTGTTTTAATGAGCTGCAGTATGGAAATATAATGCTGATGATGGTTTTGGACTACACCTCAGATGCCCTCTACTGCATTGACACCTTTGTGAGAGCCAGGACAGGTCAGTGACAGGAACTCTGCTGAATGTGTGAACATTAAAGGAAACTTGGGTTATAAGATTATGCTAATAATATTACTGATTCTAATGTGTCAACAGGTTTTCTGGAGCAAGGTCTTCTTGTTAGGGATGAAAAAATCCTGAAAGAAAAGTACATGAAGACACGGCAGTTCAGATTCGACATCATATCATTGATTCCCACAGATATTGTATTCCTCAAAATTGGAATCAACAACCCAGAGTGGAGGTTCAACCGTCTCTTTAGGTTAGCCCGACTCTTTGAGTTCTTTGACCGGACGGAAACTCGAACTAATTTCCCCAACATCTTCCGAATTGCTAATCTTGTCCTTTACATCATCATCATTATCCACTGGAATGGTTGCCTCTACTTTGCCATCTCCAAGGTGCTGGGCTTTGGCTCAGACACCTGGGTATATCCCAGTGGAAAGAATCCAGAGTTTGCTCGCCTGGCCAGGCAGTACATCTACTGTTTTTACTGGTCCACTCTCACCCTGACCACTATTGGTGAGACACCACCCCCAGTCCGAGACATTGAATACTTCTTTGTGGTAGCTGACTTCCTCACTGGGGTTCTAATCTTTGCTACAATTGTAGGCAATGTTGGCGCCATGATTTCCAACATGAATGCTGCGCGAGTAGAGTTCCAGGCTAAGATTGACTCTATAAAGCAATACATGGAATTTCGGAAGGTCACAAAAGATCTGGAGGTAAGAGTGGTGAAGTGGTTTGACTATCTGTGGACAGAAGAGAAAACCTGTGATGAGAAGCTGGTGCTGAAGAACCTGCCAGACAAGCTCAAGGCTGAGATAGCCATCAACGTACATCTGGAAACACTAAGAAAAGTACGCATCTTTCAAGACTGTGAAGCAGGTTTGCTTGTTGAGTTGGTCCTCAAACTTCAGCCTCAAGTGTTCAGTCCTGGCGACTACATCTGTAAGAAGGGGGACATTGGCAGGGAGATGTATATCATCAAAGGAGGAAAGCTGGCTGTAGTAGCAGATGATGGGGTTACCCAGTTTGTGGTCCTCAGTGATGGGGCATACTTCGGAGAAATCAGCATCCTCGGTATCAAGGGCAGTAAGGCAGGAAACCGAAGGACAGCCAACATCCGAAGTGTGGGCTACTCTGATCTGTTTGCCTTGTCCAAAGACGACCTGATGGAGGCTCTCATTGAGTACCCGGATGCTAAGGATATACTGGAGGAAAAGGGAAAGGCCATCCTGATGAAAGATAATCTCATAGATGAATCGCTGGTCGCTGCTATCGATGCCAAAGACTTGGAGAATAAAGTCAATCAGGTCGAAACCAGTTTGGACGTCATGACGGTCAAATTTCGAAAGTTGACAGCCCAGTATGAATCTTCTCAGCGTAAACTCAAACAACGGCTCAGTAACATGTCAAACCAGGTCCAAACCCTCAGAGTAAACAATGAGTAGAACTTGGCTTGGTCTACTGTCGGACTCTTTGTTCACACCAAATGGACAGTGGCTGGCTTCTATACAGTATATGAGCAAATAGAAAGTTGACCTTTCTCATTAACACAGAGATATTCAGATGGCTGGTAACTCAATACTTTAGAAGTAACAACAGAATTCTGTTCCTACTGAATATCCAAAAACTGTCTGGTACCACAATAGGGTATAGAATACTTGGTCAGATTCTCTTAGTCTTGTTTATGTCCTTTAAACAGGTGTTCTCTGATCGTGTACTTTATTTTGGACTTATATATTCAGCAAAGTCCCATAACAGCTGTTTGTGTAATGTTTGGCCCTTTTCTATGAAACAAAAAGAGTTTGTACTGAGTAACAAAAGGTAACAAAAAGCAAGGTACCATTCTGGTCTCAGAACTATTTTTTTGTCATATTTACACCTGTCATGAAGTAACTGAACGATGCCCAGCACTAGCAATGCATTTGTGTGAGCAATTAATCAATGCTACATGTGTATTTAAAGCAATCCGCAACATTACTGTCACTTTGCTTAGATCTTCAGTAAAATGCATTTTCTCCAGCATGGTTAAAGAATATCCTTTTTCAATTTCCTTTCTGATATTTGTAGCATGATTTTCAAAGCAACACTGTCACCAGAAGTACTGTTTCCTGGGTCTGTTTTTCAAGAACCGTTTTAAATAAACTGATTTTAAATCAGTCTGTGTGTATTTCCATGAAGGCAGAACAGACCAACAGAGTAAAATGTAAGTACACATTATGGGCTTATTAGTACAGGGAAACATCTGTCAAATGTTGATCACATAGTATAGTGTGTGGCTGGGTAGTTTGCCTATTTGTCTTCAGACCCTGTTGGTCTAAACGTTGCGTCATTACATCTTTAGGAGCTTCCAAAATTCAGTGTGAGGACTACCAGGGTTCCAAGAGATTGTTTTCAGTGTTGAAGAGACAATGCTTCCAGAGTAAGAAAGAATATACTTAGTTACTATTTAGTTGATTGATTTCACTGTCTTGAATTCTCTGCTAAAGGAAAATAGGATAATGTTGAAATAATTAATCTGGACAACACAAAATTGTCCAGATCATTTGACTTTTTCTATCATTTCCCATGTGTTTTCAATGACTACCTCTCCGTTTGAAGGGCACACTTTTCTTTGTGTTGGATACCAATCTGTTAGGTAAAAGTGCAGCGTTACAAAATGAATCCTAATGACTTCCATAATCCCTGACCTAAAACCTAACGTCAACATTAATCACAACACTCTGCAGTCAACCCATCCTCAGCATCAGGAGCTGTGGCTGCTGTAAAGCCACCGGGGAGACACTTGGGGTTCAGAGTCTCACTCAAGAACCCTCTGGACACACCAGCCCTTCATCTAGTGCCTCCAGCAGCTCACAACACATATTAGACGGATTGCTACTGACCCTTGTGGTTCAGAGGATAAATCCTGACAATGGTCATGCTTCTCATTAGCACATTGCTAATCTCCTGCTAGCATCAGAGTTCAGCCTCACAGACCAGTATGTCTTTAGACTCTTAGCATTGTTAAACCATTAACAAGTGAAATGGTCTAAGAGAGGTGAGCTTCTTAGTGGGACATACGTTTCATGTTCCTGATGTACGTGTTTGAGTGTTTATCAGAAATAGTTTACTGACTGGGATCACCAATAAAGAGCGAATATGGAGACATTCAGGACCTGTGGACTCAAATCAGGTTAGAAGGCGACACAAGTTGGAAAAAAAGCTGTCATCTTTATTTAGCATGTTTTCACAACACGGAATACTTGTAGCCTTTCATCAGTTTGTATCTTTTAGAATGCCAGTTGATGAAAACCACCTTCCTTTCCAAGATCAGATTGACCTTTGACCTTTCATCTCCACTTGGCTCTAGAGCCCTTTCACATGTTCACGTGAGCAGCATCAAAACGCAGTTACACATTAATGTTAAACAGCTGAAACCAGACCTGGGCTCAATAACAGGAAAGTAATCCTGAACCTTTGAAGTGATACAGAGTTCCACATGGTCGAGGATACTGCAGTATTACAAACATACAATATGCTGTAGTAACTCTCCATCACTCTCCAATGAAGACTGTTCTCCAACGTCATGTTGCCCAGGTCCGTCTGAAACCATGACGATGACAAAGTAAGAGCAAGAGAACAGAAAGAATGGCTCAGGGTTGGTGAGTACAGCACTGTGGTTCAGTGGTGTGTAGACAGACCTCCTGCAGACGCATCACTGGGGCAGCAGGAACCTCATTCACCAGAGACAACACAACTCTCATCTGCTCGGACTACATTGGAATATTTGTTTGTTTCTTAAATAACAGCTGTGGACAAAAAGCTGCTTAGCTACCATGAAGCTGGCTCAGGAGTAATGACGTGATGGGCTCATGGCAACAGGAGAGATGGTGACCTCTGTCTGTCTTTCCTCAGCTGTCCACTGACTCCTGCTCCATGACCTCTTCCAAGTGGATGCTGAGGGTGGTTTGGGTCTGGTGTTCACAGACAGTTGATGTCTGTTTCTAGTGTTCATTCAGTCTCTTGGTGGTCCTCGACATAAACACAAGACTGCAGGAAGAAGACATTGACATTCTGAGACAGGGGTCACCATCTGCCCCCATGTTGGACCACTAGGTACCCCGGGACTGAAGGTCCACATGTAGTAACGACACATGAGCCAGCTCCATATACCGATTAGGACCAGGACTCTGAAAAGCTGGTCATAAATGCTTCACCATTTAATAACAAATCCAAAGAAGAGGGGAAACTGTTCAGACAGCTCAACAGTTCAGGGTTAACAAACACCTTTATTAAGTTCACCACAATGATCTCAACCACTTATTTGAAAGTTAAACAAAAGGTCAATGTGAAAGGAAAGTGTGTGTGTCTTACATAACTGAACATGATCTCATGTATGCTATGGTTTTGGATTTCTTACACTGTTCAAGGTAAAAATCTATAAGCATTGTAATCTATCACAATGAACATGCCTGTCTGGTAGAGAAGTTTAAGTAAAGCTCGACTTGAAAAGACTAAACTTGATCTTCATATTGTACTGGACACACCCAACGGTAGAGAGAATCCCAATAATAATAATAAAAAAGACACACAGCACATGGTCTGTAATGTGTGTGTATTATGTAGAATAGAGCTAATATACACAGTGACCTACCACACCTACTTTCAAATAAGTGGTTAAAATGATTGTTCAATAGTGCTCTTAAAGTATTTAGGACTGTTCCAGAGACAGTGTTTACACCTGTTTTCATTCTCATCGACTGTGACAGATCCAAATAGAAATGTGATCCCAGTGATGCGTCCACAGAGCCAGAGCAGACCATCACCGTCAGTGGTATCTGTACGTAGCTGTAGGACACGCTGAGCCTAGCTTAGAGCAGACACAGTTAGCCTAAATACATGTGTTGAACTAACAGATCCAGGGTGACAGCTTTGCGTTTGTTCAACAGAGGTAGGTCACCGGTCTTTGAGACCACATTTAAATTCATCCTCTGACTTGATGGTGGATAAGTTACTGTTTTCCTGTCCATCATACAAACACATCAGTGAGAGGTCAGAGCAGATCTACACTGATATTACTTTGCATTATGGGTCTAAAAGCAGACATCAGTAGCTTCAGGTGGACTGAGCAGAGTTACAGCTTTGACGTAACCATCACTTTGTTCACATTGTGCTCAGACTTCTATCCTCATCATCACAGTGCTAGCCTGCCCCCTCTGGGATCAGGCCTGGCATTGTGAATACATACATGCTGTACCTAAATTAACGGTGGAACTACGGCCAGAGACCACAGACCACCAGGTACCAGAGCTGAGTCCGTCAGTCTACATGTGGGGCTCCAGATGAACTGGGGTTAAACTGAACAGAGACTAAGCCAGACAGACGACACAAAGTGCTTCCTGTCTCTGAGAGCATCAGCAGTGACTGGTCTACAAATGCACATCCTCCAACAGGTGTCGTAGTTCCAACCGCACTGATATATAAATACTGATTTTATTTGGAATCGTCAACACAGGAAGACATGGAAATAAAATGCTTCAAACAATGATGGCAGCCTGTGGCCACAAAACAAACATTCTGAAAATGTCTAAGTGCACTTACACAGCTCTGACACGATTTTAGTCTAACCTGCGGTGCCCCCCCTCCCCAAGGAAAAAAGGCCCAAAAACACAACAGCTATTTCAGAATGTGCCATTTTGGACCAAATCACAGTAACTTTGTCAATAATTACTTGATGACAAATGGACTTGGCTGTGAGTGGAATGGTCAGCGAGCTCTTCTTCAGTGGGAATACAATGTCTGAAAGTAAAGACTACTCTAAAACTACATGTTCTCTGTGAACAAGAGCTCACGTCTACTTTAACACATTTTTGTTCAATAAACGGGTTTGTATTGACTGGTTAGTGAATTGTCCCAAATTTACATATTTTAATATTAACCTCAAGTAGGGAAGCTATCACAACAGGCAGGCATGAAAAAGAACCCATTTGAAGCTCGAAATAAATAACAAGGACAATGATCCTCTCTGTACATAGAAAAGACGGGAGGCTGCTGCACACTCACATGGTGTGGATGTGTGGTGGGACTTTGATCAGGAGGTCTCTGTGCTTACACGGACTCATGTGGGATGATGCAGGCACAGTACAAGAACTACTGGAAAGCTCTATTGGAACCATTCTCCTCTTTCATTATGGACTTTCCTCAAAACATACTGGTTTTCACCTCTTAGACTGTGTCTGATAAAGGAAGGGCAGGGTCTGATGGGCTTTCTGAGAACGAGTCCGCTTGGAGCCGGGCTCAGAGCATGCCGAACCCTTTGGCATAGGTGATGGCTTTCAGCAGTCTCTCCTTCAGCTTCTCCTTGTTGCTGTATTCAGGCAGCAGCAGTACATTGAAGCAGGTGTGTGACGTCGGTAACCTGCCGAGACAAAACAAAGCACAGCTGGTCACACCGACAGCCTGTAAGAACCATGGATGGACAAAGACTTGATCCCACTTCTCAGTTTGGTCTGTGTTAACATTTCCAAGAAGAGAACACACAAGTCCACCAATCTGATGACACAAAAGCCTAGAAACAGACCAAGTGTATGTAGAATTTTGTCATTATGTGGTGTGAGCTCTCCTCCTCCTCCTCCAGAGCTCCCTCTGCAGGTCCAAGGCTGCAGTGAAGCCGGATCTAGGTCTGTCCACGGTGGACCGGTCTCAACTGGAGTCTGAGCTTAAGGAGTTTCTGGTGAACCTGCATGAATTCATCCGATTTCACCAGAATCAGAAGAACTGTATAGAAATAAAGAATCTTCTCTCCGACGCTCTGGTTCACTTACGTAGGTCATAAAGAGGCATTCGTATCATATTAATTAGGGCCCGAGCACCGACAGTCGGAGCGGAGCGGACCTATTGTTCTTCTAATGTTTATTATTATCGTACGCGTTTCGTCGCAAAAAGGAGGTGCTTGGGATTCTGGTAAGATTTTGAAATTTGGCACGCAAGGCAGTCGTGGCGAAAATTGCAGTCTGATTGGAGTGTCCAGCTGCGGTATAAAAAATTGGCTCAATAGCTGCCCCAACATTGGGTTTCACCTAGCTGTATGAAATTTACCTACCTGCGCAAACAGTCGGTTTTGAGACAGTCTGTTATGTTACTAACACTGAAGCAAGTTCACACACATTCACACATTTGTCGATTTCTACAGGCTCACAGTTATGATTGTTTTCGGAGGTACACTCAAAACATTCAAGGCTTAAGACCTGGCAAAATGACCTGGCTATGCCATTGGTCGACACAGGAAATACCGTTTAACTTGTGCATACAGTGTATGATGGTCACAGAAATGCATGGCCGTATCCACCAGAGTCCTGCCAGTACCCTCGACATGCGTGAACATGTGAGGACCCAATCAATGCTGCTTGCAGCTTTAATTATTATTAAATGTTAAGATTCTTCTTTCTATTGTTCAACTGAATGTTTCACTGAGAAAGACCCAATAAAGAAAACACTCATATTTCTGTCCGTGGTCTAACAATGAATCAAACAGGTGATCCAGCTCTACTGGTAAAAGGTTGTGATTGGTTTGATTAGCTTCTGTACGGATGTTGGCTACAGCTAATTCTCTGCTGCAGATAAACTCTGTTTGCGTGCCACCGCTCACAGTCAGACTCACTAAGTGGCCTGAAATGAGTCGGAGACACGAAGTCTCCCTTAACAAAAGGGAGCTCTTTCCTCCCACTGTGCATTAACATGACATGAGGACAGTACAGGAAAAGCCGAGCAGCAGCATAATGGATCGGGGGGGCCCACCTGTCAGTGTCGGGGCCGTTCTTGGCGATGATCATCTTCAGCTTGCCCAGCCCCCCCACAGGTGCTCTGTCGGTGCCGGTGGTGAACTGCAGGAAGAGGCGCTTCTGGTCCTCCCCAAACAAGTGCAACGTCTCCCAGAACTCCCTGCGATGCAAACAGACAGAGAGAGTGCAGTGTTAACATGTCAACAGGATGTCATTACTTACACCGTGATCCTGACCACCTGTTCCCAGGTCAGTAGGGTATATACTCAAACCGTAATGATAGCTTGTGAGCACATCCTGAACCACCGAACACAAACATCTCTTACTTGATGATTCGAGAATCTCTGTTGTAACCTCCATCGTATTCTGTCGTCTCTTCAAGTGCTAGAAAGTCCAGGTTCTGCAGCACGTGACAAGGACAAAATAAAGGATGTAAGCTCAAAGTCACGACTGAGGAACATATTCAAATGTGTGGTTACAAATCTCACCCTGCTTCCACATATCAGCAGCTCGATTTCCTCTGGTCTGAACAGGTACTTGAGCGGAGACTCGTTGGTGACCATGTGGAAGCCTCTCCTGAAGGCTTTGAACTGCTTCTCCACACTTTTGTTCAGCATGTACTCCGCATACTGAGCCACGAACTCCTGCACACACACACATCACAGTTATCTTTTCCCACTTAGCTAAGAGCTATCTAGCCTTGAAGATAGATTTGCCACAGATGGAATATAATATTAATAAGTATGTTTTCTTTACTGTATAATCACCAGAAACTAAGAATTGATGTTTTTGTTACAGTAAAATGAGCCCTTAAAAGCTCCACAGAAAGGACAAACCAAACACTGCTCTAGAAAGAAATATCTGCCACTATAGTTCTCCTACAATGCACCTTTAATGCGTCATTGCTTACAGAACCTGTTGTTCTACAGAACCTGAGCCAAACACAGCTGTCCCTCCTCTGGCCATAGCAGTGCTCTTTCATACGCTTTGACAGGAGTGTGTGCATGAAACATGAATCAGTTCCTCTGGCTCTCTACGCTTCGTAATGTGACTACTCCACTGATCCTTTTACAAACCTCACCTCAGTGAGTCTGTTTAGTTTCTACACAACTTAGAACCAAACCTGAAGGATCGGAGGAAACACTCACTCACATGCTGCCCCCCGATGTGTTACCAACATAGATCACTCACAGGAGTGTCTTGTTGACCTTCTCAAGTGGTCTAATGAAACCGAGCCAAATGGACAAATACACCAAAGTTACCTTTGGCCTGTTTGAAATTCTGATGGTCTTTTTTTTTTTTTTACTATTGACCAAACAATAATAAAGAATATATAATTAGTCTTGCTGGTGCCATGGCAAAATACGACCTTTGAATCCTATGAACTCTCGTCTTAGGGTAAGCCCTCGAGAAAACGCTTCATAACTTGTGTCTGGCTCACCTTTCTGTTTTCATTTGTGACTGGAATCTTGTCCCCATTTTCCCTTAAATCATACATGAGTGGGTTCCCAAACAGGTCCGTCTGTGAAATCTGGAACGTGATCATCATGTCCTCCTCCACGCTGCCTTTATACTCCAGCAGCTCCTTCAGACTCTGGTAGAGAACCTTTACAACACAGACACATATCACACTTAGTTTTACTCATCAAGTGAAAATTTGTGGATTAGTTCCGAAGCTAACTGAGAACAATGAGCACATTTGATGGGGGGGGGGGGTCCTACCGGGTTGGCATCAGCTAAGTCCCTGAAAGTTCCTTTCTTGCCCATCAGCTTCCTGTAGACCACCATGGGGAAGTGGACATCCAGAATACAGTTGTTATAGATGGCCAGACCCAGGACGATGCCGATCAGAGTGTACTGGCCTTCGTTTTCCAATGATGAAGGGTTGAACCAAAACAGTTTGGTGCGCTCGTCGTATGTGAACATGCCTGCAGGAGGAAAAGAGGACATGAAAACAAGCTTGATGCTTTCAATGATCACTTCCTCTGCTGCGATCAACACTTTGTCTGACAGTGCGGTCAGCAGCCAATCACGAGGGATGATCTACATCGCATTAGGTTGTAACCACTGGTACATTTTGATTTCTTTATTTCTCCGGTCACACTTATTTCATTAGTAGGACCGGTGGTCAGCTGTGACTTGGATGTGTTTTTCCGTACTGCAGTCAAATATCTACCTCAAGATAGAAAGAGAGGCCTTATGAGAACAATGGACGTAAAGTAACTCAACGTCTGTTCAAGGTTCTGATGTGAAGCTGCAGATTAATAATGCTTCATATTTCATTTCTCATATTTTGTGAAATGTAACCAGTAACATTTATCTGTCAGGTAAATGTACTACAGTGTTTTCTAAAGATGTACACAATAAGTAGCATACAGTGAAGTTGCACATTGTTTGTGCTTTAGGGCCTTTGGTAAGTTATTTTTAGTAATTAGTTATATTTTACATCACTGCTCCTCAATCACATCTTTTTAAACTAGACTTTACTCACTTTAACTTGAGTTTAAAAAAAAGGAGCAACAGGTGGAGTGAAGTGTTGAAGTTAAAAAAAAAAAAGGACATTCACCAAAATGCACGTGACATCCCTTGATTAGTAGAACATTCAATCCTTAAAGGAACTGCATTTAGGAATGAAGTAAATTCATTCAGCAGCAAACAGCAATCATCTCTGTAAAGATCTAGAGGAGTAATGTCTGTGTGTTCATAGAGCTTCTCCTTGCTCCTGACTAGTTGTAACAAAAGTTTAAATGGAAAATGTAGCAAAGATAAAAGTAGATTACTGGCCCACAAAAATATGAGCAAAAGGAAATCTTTAAAAAAGGACAGTCAACATTCCTAAAAATCAGATGTTTTTACTCGTATGCATTACTACCCGCCCCTGGTGTCCTACTTACAGTATTAGCTTTGCAACATAATTGCTAGTTGTGTTTTCTTACCAATATCTGGGTTGAAGATCTCCTCCACCACCAGCTGGAAGAATTCTTTGGAAACACCTCCTTCATCAACACCTTGCTCTCCTTCAAACTCCACATACAGCTGCTTCTTTAAGTCTGCAGGATTCTCCATTGCTATCATTTCCAGCTAAAGACACACAAGAGAAACATGTCAGTGCAATGTGCACTAAATGTATCAAAATAACAAGAATGTTTCAAATAATTAAGATGCAGAGAACTGGCACACACGCACCCTGACCAGAGCGTCATCAATAATGTGGTCTCTCCGCACTTTGAGCCTCAGGTAGGGGTTGAGCTGCTGACCCTGCACCAGACTGTAGAGCACAGTAATACGCCGCTCGCTGTACATGCGGATGCGGTTGTCATAGTACAGACCCAGGTTCTTGGTGACAGCGTTCAGGATGAAGGGGCAGGTCATAAAGGAGAACTTGTTTTCAGTTTCAACCTTAAAGAAAGTGTAGTCCTTGTCCATCTCCAGCACCTCGTTTAAAGGTTCATTGACAAACTCCTCAAAGGCAATGAGCGGACGTCGGCAGTCGTTGGTGCGGATCCCCAACTCTGTCTCCAGCGGATCCACCCGAGGGCCCTTCTTGTTTCGCCGTTCCTCCCCCAGCAGCTCCTGCAGCGTGAGCTCACTGGACTCTGGGATGGGCTCCTCGTCCTCATCCTCGTTGTGCTCCATGTCGAGGTCGCCGCCCAGCACGTTTGCATAGTAGACGATCTTCAAGCACCTGGTGGCTGCCACCACTGCGTCATCATCATTGACCAGGTTGCGGCTGTTGAACTCGTTACTGATCACCTTGTAGGTAATGAGCTGCTGGAAGGTCTCCACCATGCGCCGAATCTGCTCTGTGCTGTAGTGCGACCACAGGCGTGCCAGTTTGGCCAGAGCTGCCAGAGGGAGTTTGCTCATGGCCTTGCAAAACTGGGGGAGGGCGATCTCCAGGTACTCTGGGCTGTGGAGGTTGCTGTTTTCCATCACTATAACAAACAGGTTCAGGTAGTTTGGGTCTCGTGAATACACATTGTGGTATGTCAGATCGCACTCTACGTTTGGTGAGAGATAGACCAGTGCATTCAGGAAGGCAGCTTCTATCTTCTCATTGGACAGCAGGCGCTCAAAGACCCGCCGCACAGCTTCGATGTCCACCGAAACCTCATCAGGGCCCAGCTTTTGGACATCATTTTCCCCCGAGGAGCCCTCTCCGATTCTTGATGACGAAGAGGAGGCGGGGGAGTCCTCCTCCATAGCTGTAGCAGAACAGGCAGCGGCCTCCTTCTCATCCTCGTCCTTGTCCTCGTCCTTACCTTGGAGGGACTTGAGTTCCTCTTTAGTGTGAGGTTTGGACCTCCTGAAGCTCTGCACCAGGCCTTCAGCACTGGAGAACACCCGACCTATTACCCTGATCAGAGGGGAGTAATCTTCCTTCTCTCCACAGATGTCCAAGATCTCATACACTTTCTCCTCCGTCAGGTAATTTACATCTATATACAGAGTCAAACATTTCGTGGTTAGAAATAAAAACAAAACTGATTCAACTTTCAGATTAAACTCTAGGTGTGAATCCTGAGAGTGTGGCATCTACTTACCTTTGAAATTGTCCCGTACAGAGTGGACATCTTTATGGGTCAACTTTCGGTTACTGCAGGCGGAGTTGCTGTGAGCGCTGCTCTCCAGGTAGGCCGAGGCAGTGACTTTCTTTGAGGGGTGGGGGTCACATAGCTTGGCGTTGACCTTGTAGAGCTCCAGGGATTTGACGGCCGCTGCGTTGTTATCCATGCGGGTGAAGCCGGCTGATGAGGCACACCATGAGTTGGAGCAGGACTCATTCCCACAGCCCTCTGTTAACTGGTGGTAGTAGCGCTCTATTAGATGTTTAGCAGCTGCTCGCTTCCTGCGTTCAGGGGTAAGGCACAACACATTTAGAAGTACTGCGTGAATCAATCCACTTCTTTCATCATTAACAGCGCTTAGTACAATATGGGATTGATTACCATGTTTACAGCTTAACAATCATTCTTCAGTTTTCATTTCATCTCACTACTCAAGACAGTTTCATGACTGCATGTTTGGTTGTGTTCTAAAAATACAGTGCATTGACAAATATATCACCCCTTCATGAGTTTCAATTTTTTCCAATTATGGAATTTCTGTTATTAAACGTTAAGTTGGAAATAAAGGAGATGTTTTCGACGTTGGCGACATAAACATTATTTACAAGTAAGAAACTGGTAATTACAGAAACTACCATATGAGATGAATGCAGCATACAGCTGTATAAAGTATGTATTAACTAAACATTTTGGATAAATGTCTCTTAAGATTGAGCATCATTGTTCATTCTTAACCTAGGTCTAGCATTGTACAGCGCTCTCAACCATATTCAAATCATATCAACCATAGTGATCTTCATTGCTGATGACCATTTGTTTTGCTCCTACATTAACTCAAATGATCTGTCATCATACAAGTGCTACTTAGTGCTGAGCTCTGCACCAGGATCAACATATTAGCAAAGACCTCTTGGATTTGACCATGCTGGTGTCTCTTTCCTTGTTTCAAAGTGTATATCACTATGGTTCACCATGTACATACAATATGATAATAAGTCAACGGAGCTTAGAAGAAAAAGAGAGCAAAACAATAGTGGTGCGAGTGTTAAACACATGCTCTCTCTCTCACACACACACACAAGGATATAATAGGAGTGTGACTTACATTCGGCTTGCTTCTGGGTTTTCTATTTCAGGCTCCTCGTAGTCTCTAGTTGAACAACAGACAGTAACGATCAGAAATACAGCAGAGGACACGCTGTGCTGCATTACAACAGACACTGTTGCTAGTTAATATTACAACTTGTTATCATTTACATATTGCTTGTGCCTCGGGAACGATGAGAAAATGACACGCTACGCTAAAAAGCCACATTTGAGTCGGTGCGTTAACCTTAGAATGATTATTCTGCTAAATGTGTAGCCATAGTTAATACACGTACGCGGTTACTGCTTTCATTTAAGAAAATCTTACATTCGACAACAGTGAAGTGAGTTAGTTAGGAGAAAACACAGGGACCTGAAGATCCTGACGCTGATTTAGCAAGCTAATGTAGCAAAAACTAGCTAGCACGCTGGCCTTATTTTAAATATTATTCATGCAGAGCTGACGCTTCTAACGTAAAAACAGTTTTCACTCTTTAATAAACCAATGCTTGCTACGAACTGTGCCTCACTATGCTGATAAAACAACAACAGGGCAATAGCATCCACAGAGTTGGCAGCAACATCTAGCTAGCTATCGGTATCAGTGATTCTCCTAGCATCTCCGGCAGCCCCGACTCTTTCCTGTCGGCGTCCCCACCTATATGGTCCTCCTGCAGGGCTGGTCTCGGCCTGCGGTGGCGCACACTCACAGTCCTCCTTCTCGTCGGAATTCATACGAGACTTTATCCTCTGTTGTTTGTTATCCTGTTGCTGTCTGTGATTGTATCAAGTCTTCCACAGATTGATTACAACTTTAAAAGTCTAAACCGGCAGCGACGAAGGATCTTTTATTAAAAATTTCCTTCACGGCCTTCCTACAGCAGGCTCTTCGCTCTGCCTGAGGTTCACAGCCATCTTGACTTCACCGTCAACCTACGTCCCACAATGCACTGCGTTCTAACTCAAGTAGCAGACGTGCTGGAATGGATCACATGCTCCGAGGAACTGGACTGACTGCTCAGTCCACCCTTCTTCCGTGGCTATGGAGCACTATTTATTTACACAGAATATGTACATTATACTGTGATTTATTATATCATATTATAACTGTAACGAAAATAGTTTTAATGCAATGATTCAACAATACAATGAACTGCATTTTCCACATTTTCTTGTGATCTTTTTAAATATGAACTGTCCAAGAAAGCCGTCTATCTGGAATAACCTGTAAAAACGAACTGAGACATGTCTGTTCCTATTGGATACAGGTGCACAAAAGATTACACCTGACATTGAAGTTATATTTTTGCCCTTAGACCCAGAAAACAACAAATGTTCCTAGGCTGGAATATCACCACCAATTAAATGTTTTAAAACTGTAAAGAGGAAAACGTTACAGAAACCCTCCACTGAGCAGGCTTTATGACCCTTAGGATTTGTTTTTTACACATTTTAGTAAAAGTTAAACTTCTAGTGTGTCTACATTTTGTCCAGTTAAACAAATGCATAATGGAAGAAAGAGGGAAACCTGTTAGAAAAATTCTACTCGACACCAAGTGTGTAATCAATAATCAGGAGATTTATTCTTGCAAGACGGAGCAGAGTCACAGCACATACAGTTAAGCGTCTCGTAGCTTGCTCAGAGCTCTGTCACTAAGTCCCTGTATTTTATACTGTGACAAACAACTTTCACACATGATATAGTGAAGGTATGGACCAGTTTGAACCATCTTCTTGGTTGATTCATATGTAATAGTGTGGCTGCCTGCCCAGGTGTACACCTCTTTGAAGCGAATGTGATATCTGTCTTCAAAAAACATCTGTGATTAGCAAGGTCATATGGAATTGAAGCCTAAATGCAAACAGGTGCACAGTCATGGAAAAGTACAAGCATTATGCATATATCATTCTGTATTTTTCCAACACAACCCTCTCTCCATCACCTGTGCAAGAGATTCATTCTTTTACCAAATAAATTAATTCCAAAAATCAAATCGTATTTTTAGCGGGTGCAATTTACAAAAAAGAAACCTAAACCTCTGACCAGAGTTTGTTATTATTCATATTAATTCATCTTTAGCTGTATTTTGAAAAACAATCCAGCTGGGCGGGAAAGCAGCGGAACTGGCAACCCAAGCAAGTAGGTCCGTGTGCACACTTTGAGCACGACCCATAACGAAGCAGCGACACGCCACGAGGGAGAAATTAATCATATTCCACTTGAGAAGCATTTGATAAGGTAAGGCTATGAAAGTTTGCTAGAATTTATAGTTTTTGCTACATATCAGAATGGATATTTTGACAACATGTATTCTATTTTGTTATTCACGTGGAGCTACCTGACTTTGCTAACGTTACCTGACTTAGCTAGCGCCACACCCTGCCTGCTTTTCGAACAGGCGTCGACAGTCGTTAGTGGCCTTCACCTTCATACCTAATGTCAGGTTATGCTTTCTTTCTCCGTCTATTATGTAAAAATAATAGTTTTATGTGGGTGTTAGGCTTCGTCCCGCTCTTTATCGTTATTAGCCAAAACGTAGCCAAAGATAATTTTGTAGTCTTAAGCTAGCAAAGGAACGGTTAACGTTAGCAGTGACATTAGCTTAGTTGCTAACGTTAATTGAACGTTAGTTAGAATGGGTAGGCTAACATTTACTAACTGAAGTACAACCTGGCGGGTAGAACGGTTGATAATTGTCCTAGCTGGTTTGCCCACAGTTTATATTTGTGGTGTTTGAGCTTAGCATTAGGCTAGCTAGCTAGCCTATTAGTGGCGTTAATTAAGATGAGCACGAGGTCGGTGTAATGCGTCACATATCACGTGCTGGACCGACAGCGTGCTGCGCCAAAATCTTAAGAAATGCTGATTTTACTGCTGGGAAATTAAATGAAGTAACTTCAACAAACACACTATTAAAGGATATAATGTACGTTACATTAATGTACGTGTAATTTGTTTGTACATTTGTACTAATCTATTGATATATAATTCAGGTAACCTTACCGAGCTTGTACCACCATAGTAGTATTTCTCGTTAGTCTAAAGCAAGTGCAATAACGTTACAGTTCTAGCATCTGAATGTCGGCTATGTGTTTGCATTTTTTAGGTGAACACAAATGGACGAGTGGGAAGAAGCGGTAAGTCGTTTTCTTATTATGTCCAGCATTGTTACTGCCAAGAAGCCAGATGGTCAACGCCTGATTTGAATATACTCATCTTTACAGGAAACCACTACTAGTACCACTGCAGTAACCAGTCACACCTCCAGTGAAGGTATGTTTACTGCTCTGTACACTAAATATTCAGCGGTAATTATTTGCCAATGGATTTTGAGCTTTAAGAGCTTTTGCATCCACTTTCAATGTGTGAAATTACCTGTCCTTAAGCTTCTGTTGAAATCACCGTGCAACTGCAAACAAAGGGTTCAGGCAACTAGAAAAGTTTGCTACCTATTTAAGTTAAGATGATGTATTCTTTGGACATGATCACCTTTAGGCACACAAGGAGGCTCCTGGAACACTGATGGTGGCGAGTTTGGAAGGGGTAAGTATGGAAAGTTGAACAATGACCATCTCTGCCCTTGACAACATTGATTAAAAATGTTCTTCTGTTCCTCTCCAGGTCGTGGTGGAAGAGGCAGACAAGGAGGATTTAAAAGAGGTTCCCATGCATCTCACATTATTTAACAAGTAGAACAAATATAATGTATAAATAAAATGAATCAATAGAATTACGTTTGCCTCCATAACAAGTGATATTTTAGTCCTCTTAAAGGGCCGGTGTGTAGCATTTTGGGGAATCTTATCAGAACTGGAATATAAATATTCCATACTATGTTTTCATTTGTGCTTAATCACCTGAAACTAAGAATGGCATAGAATGAGGCCTTTATATGGACACAGGTAGCTGGTCCTCTTCGCGGAGTCCTCCATGTTTATACAGTTGCCCAGAATGTGATAACTTGACCCGTTAAGTGCAAAACTGTCACTGCCAGCTGCCCAAAGGATGAGCTCTGAGCGAGGCATAGGGCGTTACATCGGTTTACACTCTGCGGCTCACGTTACTGCAGTCTTGGAAAGAGAGGGGTGAGCAGAGGAGTATTCAGTTGGTTTTAGTCTGCAACCACACTGCTAGATGGCACCAAATCCTACACACTGTCTCTTTGATGTTGTACTGGACTGATGCACTCTAGAAGCAGTGTTGCTGCTTCCAGCCAAAACCAGTATTTGTGGTGTAGTTTGGATTAGAGTATAAACTGATGCTTAGATGGGATGAAATTGAGCTGTATGGGCATTGTAGAATGTTCTGATCTAATTTTGGTGCTTTTTGTTTTGTAGGTGGGGGTGGGAATGGTAAGAAATGTGCAGAGGCTTCTGGAAACGAAATACTCAATTCCTTAAAAATACAGATTTATTAAAGGAGCTAAAACAGGAAATACATAAAATAACACAATTAAAAGTTCTAACCAAATCTAATATTAAATTATGGGAAATATTAAAATATAGAGTGAAAGATTTCTTCAAATGCAGAGAATTAAATAAAGTAAGAAATGTGCAGCATTATGCTAATTAGTGTCAGCAGTTGCTCAGTCCTCGGTGCTACTGACCCTCCAATTTCTTTATAGATGGGGACAGCTGGAACAATAGCGCAGCAGAAAGAGGTGGAGGCAGACATGAGACATGTATTGTTCTACTTTGGATTAGACTGAGAGTGGTATTCCATAAAGTGTGAAGAACAAAAAGTTGGTAGTTGGGAGTAAATGTTGAAATACTTAAAGGTCTTCAACTGGGGGTCCGTGGAGGTACTTTTTCCAAACATGAATCTGTGCATTATTTTAATAGTTCAGTATTGTATGCAAGATAACAGGTATGTTTATGCATCAGTTTGGGGGTCCTTGGCCTGAAAAACATTGAAGACCCCTGACTTAAAGGATAGTGTTTGAGGTTATGTTTTAATACTGTCTTTACTGTAGAGTAGGGATGTACGATTTATCGGTTGTTGATATAGTTGGATATGTTCCAACAGTTTTGAAAAGATTTTTTTTCTTCTTCTCACCTCTGCTCTCTATTCATGCATGTTTGTGCGAGGGTGGGGGCTGAGCCACACAGCAGAGAGAATGAAATGATAAAAGTAGTAATCGACTGCTCATTATCTAAAAGTACAACAAAATCCTCTTAAGAAGGCACCTGTTTAACCATTAAATTATAAACTTTAAAAAAAATCTAAAGTTACTACAAATAAGTTTACAATAATGTATATGTACTCTATGGATGGTGGGGGCTTATTGGTGTTGAATTATAAAAACAAACGTCAATCTAAAAATATATTATCCTCGTCACATATTTCTAGTAATATCAGTCAGCGTAAACGGAAAATTAGCCCTAGAATTCCATATCGGTGCTTCTCTACTTGAAGGGATACTTTCCTGCTGTACGTATTAAACTCAAGTCCCCTGTAGGCTACAGAGATGGCTCAACCACTTTTCTTGGAAGCAGTCAGCTTGCTGTTGAAAAGGTTTCCAACAGTTTCACGAAGGGAAAGTATCAAAAACATTTAGGAAACTTACACGACCACAAACATTACAAGTATCATCCCAGATTAAACCTTCTGAACAATATGAAAAGTATTAGCTGATTATTTTGGTGTCCGTTGGCAGATTTTTTTTATTCAATTGAAAGCTTAAAACTGTTTATGAAATGTGTCCTAAAAGCATGTTTATTCTCTCAGGGCACAGCAGAGGATTTGGCGGGATGGATCGCAATGACTTCAATGGTAATGTTGTCTTATGTTTGTTACTGAGACCACTGGACTCCAGTGTAGTCTGAGTGAAACTCTATTAAAGACATTTCAGCTGACTACATGAACTGCCTTCATTTTACAGGAGAGGATGATGGAGTTCATTCTAAGTGACGCAGGGCAGCTTTTGCATGAAGTTAGTTTTCTGAAATGTATTGCTAATTTAGTAATGTGTTAAAGGTGGTGACCATGGTGCCAGGGGAGGCTTTGGAGGAGGTAACTGAACAATCACCTACCTTTGGGATTATTAACCCTTAAATCATGGTTTCATGTTGGTAAATGTCCAGTGTGTCTTCTATCTGTGCAGGCTACCGGGGGAAAGATGAGATCTTTGCTGGTGGTTGTAATGTTTTTATGATGAATTGATTTTAGCCCTTTAGTTGCGTTCTGAAACATTTCACTAACGTGACTTCTGTATCTCATACAGGGCAAGCTAAAGATCCAGAAAAGACGGATGAAACCGATGGTGAAAGTAAGTGAATGAACTGTGAATGTAAATATATTCATCAGTCCTGCAGTATGATTAAGCTTTTACCACTTGTGACCCTCAGGACCCAGGGTCACATACGTTCCCCCAACCCCTACTGAAGACGAAGACTCAATTTTTGCCCACTATGAGAAAGGCATCAACTTTGACAAGTATGATGACATATTGGTGGAGGTCAGCGGACGAAGCGCACCGCAGGCTGTCGAGGTAAGAAGTGCTGCAGTAACTAGTTATTTCATGAATGAGTTGCTGCTTCGTAAGATGAAATAATCAATTAAAGATGCTTCTGTAAGTGGTTCTCAAAAGGATGACAATTTATTGACTTGATGATTAATCAACCAATTTAATCATTCATCATTAAAATAATTCTGGCCCCGGTGTGAGGGTACAAATCTGTAGGCCTTAACTAGGATGTAACTCAAACAACCTAATGGCAACAAATATAAACTGTCCCTTGAAGCTTTGTATAAGTTATGGATGGTTCTTCCTTCAGACCTTTGATGAGGCAGCATTGTGCGAGTCCCTGAAGAAAAACGTCAGCAAGTCTGGTTATGTGAAGCCGACCCCCGTGCAGAAGCACGGCATCCCAATCATCTCTGCTGGCAGAGACCTCATGGCCTGTGCCCAGACTGGATCTGGTAAAACTGTGAGTTGAGAGGGGTGGAAGTTATAAAAGGTGTAGAGAGTACACCGTGTTGACCGGTAGAGCCTAGACCAGGGGTCACCAACCTTTTTGAAACCGAGAGCTACTTCAGGTACAAACTTCCTGAATAACAAAGTTGCACAGATCGCCTTTTATAATCATAATATATGTGAAGAGACTGTCTGATCACATGTTAATTATTCCTCACAATGATTGTGTGTTTTGTTCAAAATCACACCAGTTATATTTTTGTGCAAATTATCACTTCTAACATTTTTTAGGAAATCATTAACTGTCATATCTTCACATCATGTCTCGTTTGTACTAACCACTACCGTTGTAAGATTTTTGAACAAATCATGAACTCTGTCCCATGGTGATACAAATTATTAGTAATGTAAGATTGATATCCGGCCAACCCAAAGACGATGATTGTAACCAATAGTAGTACTCTTGAGCGAGCAGGTGAAAGTTTTGCGAGCAGTGATAGTAGTTGTGTGCTAGGGAACGCCCCTCGTGCTCAAACCATGGTTTTCTCCTCCCAGGTGGCAATTTTGCTTGCTCGAGCAGAGATATTCTGCGCGGAGTGATGTGAAAGCACTCGTCAAAGTAATATACACTGTTTAATCTGCACGTGCGGGACCTCCACACACGCGCATGATCTTAATTGCGCTCTCAAATTTTTACAGTGATTTGCCTTCATACTAGTGCTGTTTTTTTGAACATGCCCTGCGGGCGACTCACGTGGTCCCTGCGGGCACCGTGTTGGCTACCTCTGGCCTAGACAATAGTGGTGCAACGGATCAGATCAAATTTCAGATCGGCGCAAAAGCTATAAAAAAAAATTTAAAAAAAGGAGCCAATGTAACTTTTCGATGTTTTTTTTTTTTTTTTTTTTTTCTTCTTCTTCTCTCTCCACCGATAGTAATTGTGGCTCATTGATGATCCATACTGTTAGATTAAAGCAGCTGCTCTACCAGGCTCCAGAATACGTTTTTGTCCCAAATCATTTCAACCACATAAGTCTGTAAACCATCAATAATTCTAAATGTTATCCTTTTACTTTACTTGTAGTGGTTTTTTTTTCTTCATAAAAACACAATTCAAATGATAAGGGGGGGGAAAGATTGTATTTTTATTTATTAAAACAAATCTAGTTATTAGTTTTAATGATGTATAATGTGCTTAGAGCTCGTGTTAGCAAGTTAAAACAAATCATAATTCATCTTTTATATCCATTTTATATTCATGTGAAGTTTATCACCAAAACTACATTTTGCTGATTACATGTGAACACATAACACTCATTGATTGTTCACAATGTAACATTATCAGAGATCAGTGACTAGAAAAGCATAAATGCAGATGTCCTGATCTCATAATTTACTGAATATTGGCGGATAACAATGGTCAGTAAAACTTTATTTCACACTGTAATGGTTAACGTTAAACTGTAATTAATCCGCGTTTCACGTGCGTGCCAAACGGTGAGGGTTGACCAACTGGTCCATTAAACCACTACTAGACATGCACAGATCCATCGGCTGCTGATACAAATATAGAAACTATCATTTACTTCCTATTCATTTGAATTGAGTGTTTTCTGAAATCTTTATTGTAAATAGTGTATGAATGCATCTTCCCTCCTCCAGGCCGCATTCCTGCTCCCTATCCTGCAGCAGCTAATGGCAGATGGTGTGGCAGCCAGTTCCTTCAGTGAGCAGCAGGAGCCTGAAGCCATCATTGTGGCCCCAACCAGGGAGCTCATCAACCAGATTTACCTGGAGGCCAGGAAGTTTGCCTTTGGGTATGTTAAGACTGGCTTTGACAAATAGTGTTTTACCATGAGTTAAAGGTATAATGTGATGCAAACATAATTCCTTTCAATCATTGCATTACCCCCCCCCCCCCCC